GAAATGAACAGAAATAGCTGCAACTATTAAAAGTGATATACTGCTGAAATCTTTTTATGATTATGTTAAAAAAATCTATCTGACTCCTTGAAAGAACTCTCAAATGGTTACTGCTTCCTGAAATAAAAGCTACTTCACATGTGCTCTCCTTACTTAAAAAATATGCTGAATGGAGTCGCTTCTAAGTGTCAGAGCTGTACATCTCACTGCCCTTTTGAGACATTTTGAAAAGATATAGCTGTGAAAGAAGAAATGAATGGATCAGGAAATAAATCAAAATGCAGTCAATATAGTCTTTTTTGTTGTTGTTGTTATTGGCATCTTTAGATTGGTTTTAGAGAAGCATTAGTCATGAAACTTCCCTCTTTCCCCTGCCCCAGCTCTTCTAATGACATGATGAATGTTGTTTAAAGCCAAGATCCAGGTACCTCAACCAGCTTTAATAACTCTTCCATTTTCAGAAAAAGGAAATATCATAAAGCGCCCCCCGCCCACCCCGACTCACTGTCTCTCCTTTGTGTCCTCAGAGTTTGCAGGGCAGCTCCAACACAAAAGCTTTTATAAGAGCAGTTTTGTATCCAAGCCAACAGATCTTTGTGGGAGGAAGGGTATATTAGTTCAGAGTCGGAGCTGCATGAACGCTGTGGCATGGCTTGAGGAGCAGAACTCACAGCTGACCAGTCCAGGGCACGGCAGGTCTTATTTGCCCCACACAACCATACATGTTGATTCAAAGCTTCAGATACTTCCTTAGCCCACTTTGACTTAGAAAGCTTAGATCAGCCCATCAGAAAACAGAAACAACATGACGAGTAGAGATGACCAGTTATACATAGACTGGTCACTGTATTACAACTAATCCTCATAATTAATGAATAATCTAGATTTCCATTTTTTGTTTATGGAAAAAAAACACAAAAATATTATAGGAGTACTTTCTAAGAAAGAGGTAGAGAATCAGACCAGTAAGTATTATGATGCTACTCTATCAACTGATTGTATAGGAATATTCATTTGGCATATGAGGCCAGCTTCATGGATTGCATAAATCAACAAAACATTGAATTCATGTTGAATCATATCATTCAATAACTATGCCATACTGTTTTTATTTTCAGCACCCCATTTCAAAAGTAGAGCTACAGTAGCTGAGAGAAACTATAAACTACTACCAACAATTTTGCCACCAAATTGACGGAGAGTCAGCGTTATTTCCTTGTCTTTGCTGGAATTTTTTCCCTCTGTGGAGACTGCCAAACCATCCTCACCAGAAATGACTCATCTGTAGGACCTCAAAAAGTACTTCTGAATGGGTTGTTTTTGCTTTTGGAATGCACTGCATTATACGAAGAGTTTGTGATGCTCCAGTGTGGATGCCCGAATCTTCCCTACAAGGAAATTCCCAGGCTGCACCCTGCAATATTAGCTAAATGCTCAATTTATTCTTCATTACCTAAGTAAATCATGGAGCATTCATTTCTTTGGCAAATGATATTGCCTTCCAAATTCATCATACTTCTCAGACATTTTTTTTTGCTTGTATGGGAAAACATATGAACATACTAACCAAGCCCTCACTCTTCCTTGCCTTTCTATTTCTAACTTTGTGGTAAAAGATGTATGATGAGCTATACAGGAAAAAATCTGTGGGACTCCCAGTTAAAATACTGGCAGCACATCACTGAGTAAAGTAGAAATATAAAAACCTAAAGACGGGCAAAAATGAATAGAGAAAAAGAACTATTCCGCAGGAGAATGGGGCAGAAGCCAGTAGAACTGTTTTGTTTAGAAAGGATAGTATAGATCACATGACAGTTCACATAAATGAACGAGCTGAATAAACAGTACCAGTTGGCAGATGGTCATTTCCCTTAATACACATTAATTTAACTCAAACAGACACGTATTTTTAAATGACACAGTATTTGTAGCACAACATATTATGAAACTATGAAATTTAGTAACATCTACACTAGATTAACGAACTGAGACTTTAAAATGGGCAAGAAGTTTATATGAATAACAACCATAACATCATCAATGACAACAGCTAAAATACACACTTACTGAATGCGCTAGCCCTTACATTTTAGGACAGAAATGAGACCTGGTGTTGGGAAAAAGACCGCCACTGACATACGTTTTGCATCTTTGTCTGCCGTGGCTGCTCGACAGCTTCAGGTGTAGCCCCTGGTTCCAGCAGCTTTCAGAGAAGGGAGACTGTTGGTCATTTCAATGATTGTATGTAAGATTACAAAGGTCACGGAAGAAGTTTGAAAAGAAAAATCCCTCGGTAACCATGTGACTTAAATCTTTATTACAGACTAGGGAAGATAGATAAACAAGATTACGGCTCCTACTTTCCAGAATTTACCAAACATACTGAAGTGGTAAAATCATCTAAAGTTCTGCCCTCTGAAGCTCACCCACTCTTTAGCTGTTTCATGTATCTGTTTCTACTGATGATATCAGAACTCCTGAGGAAGAATTTCTTAGAACCTATTGAGAAATGGATTTATAAACATTGCTCCAGCTTTGCAGAAGGGGTTTCCATGAATTCCTTGACAGTCACATTTGAAATGATTTTCTAGATCTTCCTCTGCACTCCCAAAATTAAAAGGCAAAAGTTACTAGTCACAATCAAATAGTGTTGATTGAGATTATGGATACTTAGAAACTCTTTGGAAAAGAATATAGAGAGTCTATTGGGAAAATATGACCAAAGTAACATGTATTTACCATTTCTGGGCAGTGTAGCTGTACTGACAAGTATGTGTTCATCCCTACCCACTGGACTGCTAGAAGGTCATGTAGCTGAAGTAAAATTGGGCATGCATCATGGAAGATCTGGAAAAATGACTGAATGAGGACTGAGTCAGGGAATGTTCCTCTTACAAAATGGTAATATAAATGATATGGAACTAACTAATAATACAGTTGGTTTCCACTAACAGAATAACATGATGATCTACAGAACTGAATTCCAGACTCTGAGCTAAGATAATTTTTTCTTATTTTTCCATTTGAGTTGGTTAGCGCAAAGCCTGTGTTCAAGTGACCAAGTCAACTGCTTTCTGCTTCCCAATTTAATCTCATGTAGGTATACTCATCCAATCAGAGATGCAGAGGATATCCCACATGTGAGAAGCCCCCAAATGGTGTTTCAAACATGGCTCCAACTCACAATGCAAATTACCTGTGGACAATTTGACCAAGCAAATAAATATTTCCAATGGACACGAGAATTGACCTCATTTTACTGGAAGATGATTAATCCGAGATGCATATGAAAGCACAGTGCCCCATGTCTAACAAAATTCACGGGTATTAAGGTTCAAGTGATAAAAAATGGGGTCATCCATTGTAATAGGCGGATTAGAGAGAAGCTCAGTAAGGCCAAATCTCAGGCCACCACTTTTTTCTATGCATATTCTTCTAATGGGGAATACAGCCTGTCCCAATGCTTTAATTTTAGTGAGTCATAGCTCCCTTGTTTGAGTGTACTTTCTTTTAAAACAAGATAGCAATTTTAATTAACAGAGCACATTGTTATGTCTGTAGTCAATCTTCCCTTTGTGTTCTCAGTAGAGTTAGACTGAATCTGGTTATTATCTTGTAAAATCAGTCTAGATTAAAACTTACTCTCCCTAAAATACAATGGGCAATCTCTCTCTTGAATATTTTATTTAAAGCACTAAGTTAAACAAATCTCCTAGAAGGATCTGAGCTTGCAAACCGAGCTATGCACATCAGAGCACATCAGGCTGCTGAATACGATATCCAGAAAAAGAAAAGTTCTAATTTCAAAGGTAAAACACGCACACGTAAGCATACACACATATACATACACATATATAGATCTGCATGGTATATTTGCTATACAGGCCTGGACTCCTTGTGAAGTTGTTTTTCACTATAGCAAATTAGAAAAACATGCCCAGAATTAAAGGTTACTTAATCAGGTTGAAGCAGTAACTTCAATTCCAACAACTCCCTCCCACTATGTTACATCTGATAATGTACCCAAGTCCAAACATAAACTTAGTTCAAAAAGATGTTTGGTCCTTGAATGTAAAACGACACTTAGCTTACACAACTAGCCAGGTAATACATATCCTTCCAAGAGAAGCAATTTTTACCGCAGAATAATCTGCATTTTACTAATCTCCGATTGTTAAGTTTTACTTAGTGAAAGTTTTCCATATGGCTTTTTGAATGCCACTGTCCTGTATTTAATTACCACAGAAGGATATTAATAAAGAGGTTGGAAATTTGGCCCAAATGCTGTTCCACAGTTTGGTCAGTTTGATGGAGATAGAGCCAATGAGCAGAACAGTTCTGTAAGGCTGTACTATTTCACACTGAAAAGCAGTGGCAAAAGAGGAGTAAACAGACCTAGGGAAATAAAACATCCAGCTATTTTTGAATTGCCTGTAGACTTCTAAAGTGGTCATAAAGTAGCACTGAGAAAGATGAAATGCTGCTTTGCTAACTTAAAGGATAGTAAAAAGGAATAGGTGGAGTAATCTGCATAATCAAGAGAGTTTTTAGTTGAGCTGTAAGAAAGACGCATGCCCAGAAATGCAGCGTACTGAGGAATTTTAAAAGCAAAGCATGACATTGAGCAGAACCAAGGCGAGAGTAGGCGCTCGGAGCACAGAGGGCGCGAGGAAGCTAACGTGGGTGGGAAAGCATATGTTGCTGCCTGCATGAGGAAGTGGTACACCACAGTTACTTCATAAGTGCAAGGCCTTTATAAACTAAATCTCTTAGGGACTGTTTTAAATAGACAAAGAATGACACACAGCCCCTGACAGGCTTGCAATATTGTTTGAGAAGGCTGAATGCCTTCTAAAAAACACCGCACTGCTGCTTGGACTTTTTTTTTTTTTTTTAAGCCTATTTTTAGCCTCAACCTCATCATATAAACAGTGGGCAGATGCACCATATAGTAAAATCTGTTTTGTCTGCCATGAAATGAATGGCCTTCTTGGTCTTACCTGACAATGGAAAACATATTCTGGGGTAGTTTTCTTGAATTTCATGTTCCAAACCAAGGCCACGCCATCGGGCTCATGGGGAGCATCTTCGTTATTGTTATAAGAAGCAACCATCAATTCAGGGTACTAGAAAAAAACACACACACACAACTGCAATAAGCAGGAGAATGGAGCAGATATGCAAAATTGGATGAGGCAGAAACAATCTCACACTAAATATGGAATATCTGGTTTTAATAATGGCACTCACTACTCCAATCACAGCCCTTAGCTGTACTTTGGTTTTACATTTGGTTTTACATTTTACTTGTCCATGAAGTGCCTACAGCCACTGCTCTTTGCTCTCTATCTCAGATAGAGAGGTATCTGAGAGTTATTCTCAGATACCACACACACTGTTATCTTCTGCAGGTAAATCTCAGAAAACACAAATAACAGAATATTCATAAAGGGAATGTAAAACAAGAAGTTCTATCCAGAAAGACAACCTGAAATCTTGTATAATGTATTTGCCTAAGCATTTCTGCATTGTCTTAATCCGTTTTGGTAATACAACAAGTATGAGCATAGCATGGACTCACTTTTATTTGGAAGCTCACAGGTTTTCAGCACCCTAGAAACCTATTCTTTCTTATTATGCACTTTTCCTATTCACTTATATATAGAATCAACTTGAAAGCTCTTCTTGATGATTCAAACAGCAAACAAAACATTTTCTTCACAGAAGAAATTTTGCTCAATTTTGCAAGATGCTGAGGTCATCTTGTAATGCACTGGGTGACCTCAAATTTCACTGACTCAGGAAGACTGACGCAACAAGCACTCTAAAATCAGATCCATATATTCTTGTACACCCAGTATCCATCAGCATATATAAATAGATATGCACTACACACATAATTAGGTATTTTGTTACGTGTATGCATTTATATTTACGTGTGTGTATATATATATATGTCAGTTATGAAAAAAAATAGAATTTCACACTGTTGATGACATTGTGTTGCTTTGAAGCACCCTAAGCAAAATAGTCAAAGAGCAGAAAATCCAAAGTATCACAGATATAATTCAATTTAATGGGTAATAGTTATACTTGGACTACACAATCAAACCTCACCTTGCTGAAACATTAGCTAAAACAAAATCTTGTTGACAATTAGCAGAGGGAGCTTAAATTATGCACAATTCACAGCCTTTGATTGCTGAGTGCTTTTGTAGTATGTTCTAGGCACCTTTATAAACTGTCAGCAGCAAAACAAGTAACAGTCCCCCCACAACATATCAACTACTTCCTGCCTATACAATAGCATCCAGCCCCCTACTCTCACATCTGACACTAGGTACCTCTTGCAACCTCTGTGTTTCCAACGAATAACAAGACCATGGACCTTACAGCATCTTCTGAAAAGAGCACATGGATTCTGGCAGACTGGTGAAGTAGCAGCCCAAGGTCTACAGGATCCACATTTTTCCTTGGTCAACTATAAATCTTTTTTCCTCAAGATTCCCCCAGGATCTCTGCAAATGCTTGTCACTATCTTTCTCAAGTAAATTCCTGCCAAAACATTTACCACTTCACTGAGAAACTGCAGAGCTGGTAGACATGAAGTGGGGCACAGAAACTGCCAAGAGTGTTGCCAGGAGCTATGAATTTGGTCTGCACCAGGCAATGTAACAATAAAAAATCTCTTTATATCATTTTCAGTGGGGCTTGAACCTCTCTGCCTCTGAAAATCCATTTGGAGGAAATGTATATACCTATAACTGGTGTGACCAGCAGCTGTGCCCTCCTACTTCATGCACGTTTTTATGGGTAACACATCATGGAGGTGACTATTTTTCCTATTCAAGCTCGTAATCACAAATAAAATCCTGGGATAGAGCTCCTGGACCCTGCTCCATGTCGGGAGGAACCCAGCAACAACATGTGGCTGCCTTAGCTGCTGTTCCTCCTGCCACTGCGGTTGCAGCTGCTCCTTTGAAACTTGCCCCTCGATATGGGCTCAGTGTGTGCATGCAGCGGGCTCCTGCCGGCGTGCCGTGCTCCGGCTGCAGAGGTCGGGTACACGGGACACGCACGGCCGAGCCAGCAGCCTCGCGGGGACGTCCCCGGGCAGGCAGGGGTGACAGCCTCTTGCACCAGCACCGCTGAGCTCGGGCAGGATGTGTGAACAGGTCCCAAGTGCCTCTCTACAGGCACTTTGGGGTTGGTTCACGCTCCTGGAGAGGTTGGTGAGCATGTTCTGGTTGGAGGGGCATCTGCACCCCCAACCTTGCTGGCCTGGGTGCATGTTTTGCAATGGCAATTGATGCATCAGACTGTAAAGAGAGTGTCAAGGTTACTCAAAGTTTACTGGGGTCATACTTACCTGGCCACCATCATTTTGAGGCTTTTCAGCCCTGCAAAAGCAGAGCCAGTTGCCGCATCATAAATTCATGCTAGAGTCCCTGCTTCCTTCAATCCACTCACATTTACAGATTTTTTGGACTTCAGTAGGTCCCTGGCTGTGACCAGAGCTGAAAGCACTGTGGAAATACTGCTGGGTGAAAGAGCGTGCCAGGCTGCTCCCTCGCAGTCAAGAAGGACTCAGCTGTATCTCAGAGTCTGTAACCTTGCTGCTTCAGATGAGCTAAGCAATCTTGTGGCCAAAGCAAGGTGATCCCACCCTCTGTATTTGCACTAAAACTCTTGGGCATTTCCCTTCAAGCCTTGATTAAGGATCTAAGCCTTTTCCTCTTTGCTCTGTAAAAGACCCAAGGGGCTAGCGGGTTAGCTTTAATGGCATGAGTGATCCCACATGTCTGGGACCATGTTGTACATGTGACTAGGGAACAGAATAATTTGTTTAATCAATGCATCAAGGTCCTTTGTTTGATTAAGCTTCTATTTGCCTCCGGGATGTTTTGCAGCAACAGTTTTATCACAGAATATTGAGCAATGTGCTCTGCCGTTCCCATGAGCGTTCAAGTTATCCTTGGGCATCCAGGGCACTGCAGCATCCCAGGGCGCGAGTGAGAAGTGAAGCTTGAGTTTTGTGAAACACCTCCGTCCAGCTCCACTTCCTAGTGCAGTATCCACCTTGGAGCAGCCAAGGGAGGCCAGGGTGCCTCCTCGCCCGGCTGGGTGCCAGGAGCCGCATGTGCAGAGTTAAACTTGAGGAAGGCAGGAGGGGCCACCCTGCAACAAAGAGGTGGGAAGCAGAAAGTGGCCCTGCGCCCCCCGGCCGAGCAATTACAGCTGGCAGCCCGTTTCTGAGGCAGCTTTTTTCCTTGCTGCCCTGGGAATACAGTGCGAGCTGCCTGTTATGAAAATATCAGATAAGAATTCCATGTAATTTCCAGCCCCTGAACAAGTGAACAACCTAAGATAAGTGTTTCCTCAGGCTTATGTTTGACTTCTGTGGAAATCCATATGTGCTTAAAGGCCACCCACATCACACGTGCATTCCTGTTATTAAGCTGATGTTCTGTAGGAAAGCAAAGGGATAAATTCTTCATTCCATGCATGGGGCACGAGTGTGAAGAGGAGCCTCTGTGCACACGCAGAGACCCTACAGCCACCTATAGGGTCAGCCACGACTGCGCTTGCGGACCCCTCTCCTCCCCGCTGCTGCTGCATCCTTCTTGCAACGGGAAGGACCCGGAGGGGCGGGAGCAGCCGGGCCGGGCGCAGGGCACGGCAGCCACGCTCACCCTGCCCCTTACCCTCTGCCTCCCCGCAGCGCGCAGGCCCCGTCCGCCTCCTTGCGCGCGCACAGCGCGACGGGCAGCGCGGGAAGAGCAGCCACTGCCAAGGCTGCGCCAAGCCACGCTCGCTCCTAGCAGCGCGTTACGGCCCTGCTGCCCAGCAGGCTGCCTTGCCTCCCTATTTTTCCGGTCCTCCTGGAACAGACTTGGTATATCCGTGTTGCGGCCCTCGGAACAGAATCTCCTAGGATTCCTCGCCAAGGACATTTAACTAGTTTGTTCCAGACTGGGACCTAGGCAGAGACTAATATGGATGAAGCAAAGAAGATGAGGACGGTGGAGTGATATGTCGGCAGTAATTCCAGTTCTCTCCTGGAATAATCAATTCACCTGGCTTCCATACCCCCTCAACGGGGCTGTAACGGCTTTGGGAAGCCTAGGCCCTTCTGCAGTAAGTTTTACACTAAAATATGATGGTGCTTTGTGTTGTACAAAAATCAGACACGTTCCAGGCATGTTACTTGAGCCTTTTCCCTGGTTTGCTGCAGTTTCCTCTTCCATAGGTTTGAGGAGAGGCTCCGGCATCTTCAGAAAAATCCCTTTTCTACCAGAGCTGCTCAGATACATCTACATTTTGAGTACCAGTACATCAAAAAATTAAACAATATTACTCATTGCTTTTATTTTTGTATATTATTTTGTATAATTGTTTATTAAATAAATTATTAACAATTCAGTGGTTTTAATTATTTTTAATTGGTTTAATTGTAAACCTTTTGTCTTAAGAGCAATTCAATGTGCTGAGGGTGTTATTGGAGGAGGCAAGAAAAGTGGAGGTTCCCACCTCTTGGAGAATTTTTTAACATGTAACTTTAATATAAAGCCCTGGTTTTGAAGATCAAGCAACATATACAGACAAAAGGCAGCTTCATTATTGCCCACTGCTCTTCACTATGGAGAAATGTGCATTCACTCAGTGTCCTCCTGTTCCCCAAGAAATAACATACCAGTCTATATTACGAAGTGCAAAGGAGCCTGTCCATATTAATCTATACAGAAGTTGGAAGCAACACAGGAACAGCTCCTAGCGTTGCGCCTTACCTGCAGAGACCAATCCATGCAGGTGACCACACGATGCTTCGACCAGTGCTCATCATAAAATTGACGATTGAAGGAGAGGTTGGCTCCTGCTTGAACATCTCTGTGTGGAGTTAAATAGCAAAATTGCACTTTTTAAACAACGAGGACTCATACGTAGTCACAACTAAGGTAAAGGTTTCTGGGTACTCATTTTCTTCAGTCCCTGCCAAGACAGGGATTTCTCTTTCTGAATTTAAAATTTCACCAAACACTGAAACCAAATATTTAAACATCTGCATAGCAATTTAAATGAAAAAATCACTTAGCAATAAGGCATGAAGCTAGTTTACAAAATAAATTAGGATTACAAAGTGACCCAGGCCTTCAAGAAGAGACTTTACAATTTTCTTATTTAAAAAAAGTTTGGATGGTTTAAAAATATTTGTGTTTTCCTAGCATGGGCATTTCTTTTTAAAGATTATTTTATAAAAACAAAACAAAACAAAACTGACCCATCTTTCTCTTCTACATCTCTGCCACTGTAGTCAAAGAATATGTCTGAATCTTCAGCCAAAGCCCGCTCAATTACACGTATTGTCCGGTCAAAAAATATCAGGAATTCTTCTGAATGGAGAACTTGCTGTTTTTCTTCTTCTGTCAATTCTCGAGGAGGAGCTTGGAAAAAGAAAAGTTATCATTAAAAGTAAGACATTTTACCTCTTTCCATATGAATCAGTATCTTTAGCAAGTGGGTTTTTTTGACATTAAACTTACTGTTGTACTGGCAGGACAAAAACCAAAGCTTTGCTTTTACAGTCATGACTAAGAATTTTTTAATATATCCAAATATACTCCTGTATATTCCCACTCACATACAGAAGATCTTATATCTCATATATTTATTATTCTGAAATGGAAAATACTTAAAACACAGAATTAAATAAACCCTGCGTTCCTATTTCAGGCAATAGTTATGACTGACATTTGGGTAATGCCTAACTCAAAAAAGTAGAACACTTATATAACAGGGGACCTGTTTAAAAGCAGATCACTTATAAAAAACGCCCATGATGATAAACTAATCTTCTTAACTTATACTACAGTTCTTTGTATGAAAGGGCTCTTAGATGCTGTCCCACATAATCTCTCCCTCTGCTTCTTCCAATTTCTTGGCTCCACAGGTAAATTTGGTCTTTGTTTCCGAGCTTGTGTGGTAAATAACCAGCAGTCAGTCCCCTCTCACGGAGCAAAAAGGAAAGCCCATCAGAAAGCCACCGCTTTTTGCCATGAGGCTGAGTGACAATGTGGCGAGGGGACAGTACCCTGTGCCTAAACGTGAGCATCAGTGGGGATGGAAATAGGGAGGTCGCTACTGCTCTATCAGGCCTCTGCCCACATGTGATTTTAGATCATCACTATTCCATTTCAAATTTACTTACAGTTCAAAAAACACAAGGAGAATCTTCAAGGTAATGCCACACTAACTTTGCAAGTGTGTTAGATTCCCATTTGAAAAGCCCTACTGACCTCGCAGGAATTGTGCTGGCAGGGACTTTAGTTCCAAATATATAATTACACATACAAACAATGCATTCTAAATAGATAGGCAGATTTATTGTAAAATTACAGAGACCTGTACTTATTGTTTAACTGTCAACCAACCATCTCCAGTATTGGGCCTCATACTACAGATGCGAGATTTTTACTTTTGAGAATGACCTTGCAGTCTCTCTAGGCCATACTGCGTAAAAATAGCATCAGTCAGAAAAGAAAATTCAGCTCTGTGCCTCTGAGCACACCCAAGAATATATTAAACTCCAAATCCTGTCATACCTTAATGCTTAATTAAATGCAGAATGACACGGTTTAAGGTTGCAATTTAAAACTCCTTTCCCACTGCTGCGCTACGCCGCAGCGGCTGCTTCTTTCTGAGATCGGAACAAGGCAGCCCCATCTGCTTTTCCCATGGTTGCTCTAGTTTGGAGCAGAGGCAGGAACACAAGTTTGCCTTTGAGCACCCACGTCCAATTCCACCTGTTCCCAAGGGCAGGACAGATTCCAAGCTCAGCAGGAGGCAGGGGTATCCACCTGGCTTCTTTACCACACTCCTTGGCTCCCTCAGCTTTCTGGATGCTCACTTTTAGGGAGCTCCCTGTGGTAGGGAGAGGCTGTAACCAGCTAAACTGTTCTAAACTTCAGCTTTAAAGGACAACCTCTCTGCACCACACCTGGCATAAACATGGAGGGTAGGGAAAATGCAAAGGATGGAGGACCAATTGGTCCCTCTGGAGACAAAGCAGCTACGAAGCTGGAAACTTTACCTTTGATGCTCTCCTATGGCCCTGGCCCTATGCCTCCTGCCTCTGGGTTAGCAGTCCCTGTGGAGCTCCACACATCCAGAGCACATCTACATCCCCCTACATGATCCCCCTGTACCGCAGAGCAACAATTACCAAGGCAGGAGCACAATTTGCCTCTAAGTGCTTTAGACAGAAGCAATGCATGTGGGAAAAAAAAAAAAGACTAGCAAAAGTAGCAAAAAGTACAGGTTGACCTATTGCAGCATCCACTACTGAATAGTAATTGGCACTAAGTGAACTCATCTGGCAAGGAAGCCTGTAATGAGGCAATATCCCACTGTCACCACTAAAGCATTGCTTTCCGAGAATCAAAGACAACAAGCATGACAATGCAGCAGAACGGCACAAAAGGGGAGAAAATAGCTGCAAAGGCAACTGGAAAACTCATTTTAAACTGCTCCAAATGGTAAAAATTATTTGCTAAATCAAATCCTCTCTGCAGCTCAGAAATATAAATTTATTACTTGGGCATCAGCCAGCTATAACTGGCAAAGAAAATACAACCAAAAATCAATAGAAGGGGGAAAGGCAAAAAAATAAACAGCTTGGGAGCTCTGGAGGGTTCACAAGCAACGGAGACACGAATGATTGCAGCTCTACCTCAGCAAAACCTCTCTTGCAGTTAGCAAGGAGCTGTGGGAGGCCAGCAGCCTATTAAACCCTCTTCGGCATCAGAAACACCTTGGCTAAAGTTTGTAGGGTATAAATCAGCTTACCTCATTCATCTGACTGACATGCCAGATGCCCCCTGGTGATATTAAGCTTCATATTTTAACCTTATTTTCTTCTTTCATTCGGCTGCCTCTGAAGTTTTATTTGAGGCAATCTCTTCTTACAAGAATGTTAACATCATTACTTTTTCCAGTGTAAAGCATTTCTGTAACTACTGCAAATACATGAAGTATAAGCAAAAAACAAAGCAAAACAAAACAAAACAGACAAGCTTGTTCTTTCAAATATGAAGATTTTCTAAGCATTTATCTTTCAGAGCCACTTCCATTTTCCCCTTGTTCCTTTTTCCTTTCTGTCCATTACCTTGAATAAAATAAAAAGACTCTACGCAATTTTCTGCCATTTTTCATCCTATCTGGAAGCTTACAGTTACTTTGATCTCAGCTTTCAACAGACACAGACTCTACAGACACTCTTCAAGGAAAACTAGGAGAAACATAAGTAGCTGATCAAAGTACTTTTTGTTTTGTTTTGCTACAGAGACCTATGTGATGTGACAATATCTTCAGAAATTCTATCTAAAAATACAGTATTTGGCTTCGAATATATGCTTTAGCTGGAGCAAAAAAGCAAACAAACCATGCCGAACCCTCCATGTGTAAAAAAGCCTAATGCGATGCTTGGCTTACCCGTGCTGAAAGCTATGCACTTATTTCCTTAAGTGTAACGAAAACTACAGAAAAGTAAGACTTTGCTCTTGCGGATACAGCGCAGCTTTGCAGTGAGCAGATGGTTGCTCCCACCCTCCAGGTGCCTGGTTGGGCAGCAAAGGGACCCACGTGGCAGCCCCTGAGGCATCACTGAGCTCTGCTCACAGCAGGGCCACCGCGAAGCCACCCCAACCAGGGACTCAGTGCAACGTGGTCACGGGCAGACTTCTGGTGACTCTGCAGTTACGGGGTCACCAGCAGGTACCACAGGAGCTTCGTGCATTTGGATGTATCATATTACACAAAATAAAGCAGAATTTACATTTAAAATCAAAACACTGCACAGTTATATATGCACAGAGGGCACTTCAGAGGAAGCAAATGTGAGGCCTTCCCATAATGAAAGATATTCTACATGCATGCACGATCAGAAAGAATAAGTAATAAAAACTGACCATGATATGAAGACAACAGGTTTATTCAGCCCTTATTTATGAAAAATAAGAGCATTTTATTATTTTCCAAGTGATTTAACATGATCCACAGAAATATCATCTTTCGCATCAGATTTTTAGTCCACAGATTTCCTTGGACAAAATAGAAAAAAATATATTTTCATTTTTTAAAAAGTCTGTGGACAGGTAAGAACTAAGATCAAAAGCACTCCAGTCCTGTCCTTATTAGACACAAGACTGCAGTAAATGTAATATAATACAAATAATTGTAATGACAGTACAGGATTAAGTCTACAAATATTTAAATACTAGAATTTGAGTCTTCTCCTGAGGGAGCCAAAAAGGGGCCAAAAAAAAAAAAAAAAAAAAAAAGAAAAAGACATTTAAATAAGTGTAGTAATAGCATATAAGAATATTATTCTGGAACTTAAGGAATTGTACAAAACTGATGAACTAAGTGAAGTCCATGAAAGGCAAAAAAAGAAGCAAAAACAGAAATAAGAAATGAATGAAAGAAAGAACGATTGAACTAATAAAACTAACAAAGCAGGAAGCAGGAGCACAGAGATATAATGAGAGACAGAAGGAGATTAGTATAAACCTTTTAAGAGCTGTGTTATTTCTTTTAGTGTGCACTTAAAATCATGTAAACTTCAGATGTGCTGACTACTGTCTGCAGCTGGAATGTGCTGTGTGAGAACAGAAAACTGCTGAGCTGCCCCAGTGGATCTGCTCCCCGTCCCCTGACGGCCTCCGATCCTTTTGCTCTTCCTGCGCTTCTCACTTTCGTGTCCATCTCGATACATGCCACGCACTGGTGTGGCTTGACTGTGTTGGGTTTATAACGCAAGCCTCTGTCCAACACAACTGCTGGATTGTCCAAGAGAGAGTTTGAAGTGCATTTAGGGGCCAGGTCTAGACTGGCAGGACTGCCTTGATGCAGGGGCTGTGCTCTCTGTGTGGACACCCCACAGCACAGGTGGCTTCTCTAGTGGCTGGGTCGAGGACCATCCAAGGTTGGGAACAGGGGATTTTGGCACACCTGAGCTAGCTGTGGTATCCACACAGTGAAACTGTGGCATTACAGATTCTTGTGCAAACCCATACTAAATCGCAGGGCAAACCCAGCAATTGCTTTAGCTGTGGCTTCCCCATTCCTGTTGGTTGTGCAGGCTGAGCTCGACTGTCCCCCAGCAGCCCACACGGGTGCGGGGTGAGAGATGGGTGCCCAGCACTTTGAAGCTGTGCAGCCCAGGCGGCCCCATCCCAGCCTTTTATGTAAGTTTCTGTGGATATGGCTACGGCTTCAGATAAATGCAGGTCGGGGCCCACTTTCAAGAAGCAGCCCATCCCGCTGTTCATGTGGTTTGCCCCAACACAAAGAGGCGCCTGAGGTGGGGCTCTGGAGCTCTCCAACGCTGGAAAGCCCCATCCCACCCGATGCCACAGTATGGGCCCAACCTCCTCTTTACGTGGTCAGGAGAGGCTGGGAAAAGCCAGGGCCGAGCCCAGTTCACCATCAGAAATCCCACAGTTGGCTCTTTCAAGCACAGCATGGAGACCATGAGTCCCACCTACAGGTGACAACAGATGGACTCACGGAAGAAACAAATGTGGGTCCTGAGGCTTAAAAATGGCAGACTGCAGCATTGCAGGTGCACTCTGTGCTCTGTGGCGACTCTGAGACCAGTCCAGCCCAAGGGTCCCATCCTGCAAAAGGCCCTGCCTGCTGCCTAAGTCCACCAAACCCAGCAGTGCAACTCTGGGGCATGTGGCGGGGAAAAGCAAGGAAATTAAGCATGCAATAAATGTCTGTAGAATTAAACTGGAGTACCTATAAACCATGGAGAAAAAAAACCCACACATTTCCTCTTAAAGTACCATTATAAAAATAGACCACTCCTGTTGGCTTTGGGGAGAGGGAGGCTGAACAGACTGGATCCAATCTTTAGTTTTCATGCCGACCTATTTTTGAGTTATACTCATGAAAAAAATCGTCTGCCTCTCTCTCTCCACACTTCTTTCTCTCCCCCTACCCCCTTTTTTTTTACACTCCTATAACTCAAAAAAGGCCAAGCTGAATTTTTTTTAATCTGTTAAAAAATGTGCTCCCTGAGCTGAAACCAAATTTCAGCCCAGAGCAAATTTTTACGGCTGGGTTATAAATCCCTGAAAAACAGGATTCATAATGGAAGTGCTGACACAGCCTTAACTACTATATAGCAGTGTGAATGGCGCCACTATAATATCTATTAGAGATTCTTTAAAAAGTTTGCAAAATATTGTCTTGCCTTGCAGAGCAAAAGAAGCCAGAGTACTTAATGCCAACATAAACATGCTTTTAACCCATTATGTGCTAATTTGCAGAAAAGCTATTAATTCTGCGTCGGCACACAGAGTGCAGCACCGACAGGAAATGTTCTTCTAGACTCCTGTTTGACTTGTAACATGGTTTTAATCACTTCCATGAAACACAAATGATGGCTTCAAACTCCGAGTGTTGCTCAGAACATGAGAAGGGTGATTACAACAGAGAAGCAAAGAGGATTGTTGGCGAAAGGGCTAAAGCCAACAGCGAAAGAACAACACCAAACAACAAAAGTGGGATCCCGCTCTCTGTCAATGCGAGGACAATTGCTTCATTGGGTTCACAGCATTTAATGTTGGTCATCAGCATGCTGCTGTTTTATCTCTGTCACAACACATACTGCAGGCCAAGTTAACTTTTTATCAGGAGTGATTGCATTTTCTCTCTCTTCAAACCCAGCAAAGCGCTAGCACCTCACAAAGCCGGTTCTGCTAAAACAAGCCGTGCCTTGCTTTTGCATTCTGCAGTCTGTGTGTCAGCGCGATCAGGGCTAAACTAATCCAGTTGCGCTGGTGCTCCTGTGAGGTCTGCAAGGCAAGGAAGGGAAGTGCTTCTCCCAGACTAAACTACGACAAAGAAACAAGAGATGGTGGTGACGGCACTTGGTCAGCAAAGCACGTAAAAGGCTCTCCTGAAAGCCCATGAAAATATAAAATAAACTGGTTTTGGATTGCATTTAGATTTTTTATTCTTCTCTTCATACCAGAATCTCTTCTTTTTGCCCAGGTATAAATGTCAGCATTACTTTCATGTGGAAATAAATGGAAGAGATCAACTGCAAGTAGAGTATTATATGAGCGTTCAGCAACTCAGGACTGCATAATTACACTGATACTAATTCTGATGGCTTCTCTGTGTTAGACACAGTGATTGCTGGTGCCCATATTTTAAGTTGACCTCACAGTTTTGGGAGGGAGAATCATGTCGGGGAAAAACTCATTTTTCTCTGCTGCCATGTCCATTCGCTCATGCCTTCTCTTCTGCTATTGCTACTTCTTGTGCCCAGCAATGCCAGGTTGTGCCTGTGCAGCAGCAGGAGCAGCACCAAAGGAGGCAGCACCACATGAGGGGGCTTGCAGGGAATGGGGACACCCATTTCATGTATTGGCAAGGATACAATTGGCAAGGAACAACAGGCACCACAGCATTTAAGGCACAGGCGATTTCTATGCTGATCTATTTCCACGGTGATTTCTATGATGAACATCAATTTCTAATGAGAACAGTATGGCCAGCATTGGAGCTCACTTCAGGGTATGAGGATAGTGGACGTGGTCACAGTCCAGCAGACTCGGATTTTTCTGTCATTGACATTAATCATGGCAGGCTCCCTTAGATGAGGAAGAAGCAGTATTCACTGCTGTATCCACAGGTAATGCTTTCATGGACTTGTTGGTGAAATGACTCACTTTTCTTTCCATAGTGAAACTATGTTGTGAAAAACAAAGCCAAAGCCACAGAATCCTTCTGATAATGATCACCGCAGCAGGAAGCGACTGAGGCCCTACCTGAGGAGGTAAGTTATCTTTCAATAGGGTAAACAGAATTGTTAGCAATCCTGGCAATACAGAGCTAAGAAATATTGGATGAAAAATTCATTTCCTCTTGCACTGGATTTGTGACTATTTCAGCTTTATTTCCCCACTCCACACAGAAGTGAATACTGTCTGGTCCAAGTGATATATCAGAATAGCCAATAACTTGGTAAATTCCCAAAGATGAGGAAGCCCATAATTCATTTACCTGTTCTAATTTAGAAAACCAGAACCAAGTAAATGAGAGGCACACAGACTATCTAGTTGCTTTCAATGCACCAGCTTGACCTAAGCCCAATAGCTGCACCAGAAAGAAGCAGACTGAATCTTTGTCTCTCATAACACATGAGAGTGTCTCAATCCAGACAAATGGAAAAAAAAGAGGACTAGAACTGCCTGGCTGCAGTTTTGATCTTACATTCCCTAGGGGAATTTCAACAGTCTGCAGTGAAATGGTTTTCTGATGGAAGATTCCTGACCACCGCTAGGTTAAAGTCTGCTCTTCTCTAACAGACAGACAGCTATGGGCTCTAAGTACCTTTGAAGATCAACAAACTTTATGGCGCTGCTGGAATGCTTGGCATTCACATTTTAAATCTTTCATTTAACTGGGCCATTTAAGCCAGAGAACAAGTAAGCACCAGTCCTGGAATCTAAGAATCCCTATGCTGCTCCCCAAATTATAAGGCCGTATTATTTCTTCCAAACAAAGTCTTGTGCCTTTCACAAGCTTCTCAGACCTACTGGCTGGGTCATTGGGATACCATTTGCTGCTCTTATGCCATTCATGTAGATCAATAGAACTTGTGACACTTTCCGTTTTTCACTGTTTTCAGTAATGGAATCTCATTTGAGAAAAATTACTTACAGGACTGAGTCCTTTAAAACTGTAACAAAACACTTTTCATTTTATAAAGTACCTTCTTTCACTTCCTGCTTCTGGTCTTGATTTTCCAACTCCAAGTCATCTTGCACTTTTGGTTCCACCATCTCTTCATCATCTTCATCATCTAGAAAGAGAAATAAAGAATTGCGAGATTCTCGTCCTTAAGGGAATGAGAAATAGTGTATCATCTTTACAATTACAATCTGGCAGTAAACACAGGTGGAACAAAGTTCACGTCAAATGGAAATGTCTACATTTATACTCAAAATGTAGTTCTCAGAAACTGCCCCCAGACTGCAAGATAATATATTAACACAGGGCACCTGCCACTGGTGCTTCCTGTGGCAACTTCCCATCTCAGATGTCATCTGAATGTCTCCCTGACCTTGGAGATGACTTCTTGGATGGCATAAGAACAGAGGCAAACATGTTTCAGCCTGGCAGCAATTCCACAGCTAGGACACCTGTTATCCAGACACCTCATTTCCAATTCAATTCTCACCAGATTAATTTGTCTTTTGACCTACAGGAAGGGGTTAAATAGAAGACTGACCTCAGGTCAGATGCCACTAGCAAGCAAACAAGTATGATACAGTTCTGAAAAGTCATCACCATCAACTAGGGGAACACAACAACCAAAAGTGGCATTTGGAGCTTAAAAACCATTCTTGCATTAATATGAATTTAATGAACACTAAAATTTGACACATGTCAGTTACTACTGCCAGATGTTTTAATGACCTTTCCTGACCTATGCAAATGCCTCTCTCCTTTTCCCTCTCTCCCCAAATACACATGTTTTCATTTTATTCAGAAGGGCAAACTGCTCATGCTTTTTCTTTGTGTTCATCTGAAGTTGTAAGTGTTCCGATTGTTAGGATAAAAAAATAATATATTAGACATGAAAAACAGCATTGCATCAAAAAGGCCCAAAAACCTACCTAAACCTCACTATTTGGGTCAACTGTCTTGTTCCCAGCTGGAGCAACATGATTCATTCTTCAATGCCTGGGGCCTGCATACAACACGCATCCATGAAAAGGGTAGGAACACACAGTCTTCCAGATTCAGTGAACTACGAAGACTGAAAATAGACCCGGTCCTAAAAATGCGAGCTACCTTAATTAGGAATTAGGATAAACAAGTCCTTGGACGATGCATGTATTATTTTTCAAGGACTGTGGAGCAAAGACATACCACCAAGGCACAGCAAACACAAGCAGCACATTGGGGCTGTCCATTGCACGAAAGTGCACATGACCGAGCGCACTCAGTGAAATGTTGCCGTTCCTCTGGGGCCTTCTGGGCAATCTGCATATTACCATATGGTTCCTCATGACATGGCACTTCTCCAGGCACGCTCACTGCTTCTCTGACCTGACAACATGCCCCTTACACTTTGCTGTTGTAGTTAGTGCTTGGCAATTCTAACACTACTGAGTTAACAGTGGGCCTGGAAGCAGGAAGGGGGCAACATGTCATGCTTCTCAAACTGCTCAGCTACTGGCAACTTCTCCTATAAAGGCTGGCTACAATCATTCCTGGCTTCTTATGGAGATGTTGGTGCTGACAGGTTGCTTTCAGCCAACAGTAACACACAGCTGCATTTTGTTTTCAATAGCCTAATAGGCACCATACTATTCCCACCACTCTGCCTACCCCAGAACTCCTCCCAGATGCCCACAGAGTGCTTGTTGCTGGCTGGCATTACAGCCAAGCATGGCTCAACCACATGCTCTAAGGAACTGTCTCAGTATGGACAGATAGGCTTTTCCCTCATGGGAGAAGGAGAAATCTTGGCATACGATCTACCATCACTCTCCCTACTGCTAGTGACTGCAGTGAGGAAAGGAAGGAAAGCTTCTGGCCTTCAAAGAGGGAGGGGAATTAACAGTGTGCTCCCCAGGCAGGCACTGAGAATCGAAGGGGTATTTCCAGTGTTAAAAACACTGCTTATGAATGCTGCCCCTTCATGAGGGATCTGTCAGGCCATAAGAGGAAAGTTACTCTGAAAGGATAGACAGTAGGATATTCTTGATGCCTAACCTTGATGCCTCAGTTGTCAATTACATTACCCTTTATTTGCATTGGAAGAGCTTTTAGGGAGCAACTCAGAACGCATGGAGTAGGGTAAATGCACTGCTCTGCCTGCTGGCTGAAAGGCAGATAGCAGCCAACATGGTCAGCAGAGAATGATGATGAGAAAAGTCCACCTTTGAACACATAGGAAGGGTAAAAAAAAGACCCATGTCATTGGCTTATAGTGCACAGTGGAGATGGGAACATATGCAACCCCCACCCTGAAGATACTGTTGAGAGGGCAGAGAGACACCCCCAGTTTCAAAGAAGAGATCAAAAGTGGGAGAAGAGAGAGGAATGACCAGAGACAGGAGCAGTAGGAGAGCAAGTTCTTTCCTAACCTCACATACATATGCACCCATAGATCGGACCACAACTGTATATGGACATATGCATAGACACACTTATGGGAGATACATAATGACGCCAACTCCCGCAAGAGTTTTGTGCATCTTGCATTACAAGTTTTTGTTCCCTAGAGCACAAGCTCTCGGAGCCAGCTGTTTGCATATGGATTCATTTTCCATTTTTAACCTATTTCCAACCTGTCTGCTCATGGAGAAGAGTTTAAAAAGGTGAATGGTTTGAGAAAACCTGCAGAAGGCAAACAAAAATAAGCCACTATTTAATTTAAAATATTGTGATTTCTAAGTGGCTTGCCTAGTTTTCAGTGCCTGTCTTGTAATTTGCTAATGGAGAGGGACAACACATGTTGTCCCTACGTGTAGAACCTGAGATTTAGCAGCATGTTTTCGGACTGAAGTGAAGCAAATTGATCCCTGTCCCCTAGAAGCCCTTGATCCCCCTGATTTAGGGTCCCAAACTGCTTGTCTGCCCATTGCTATTCCTGCTTCTAAAGCAGTGCAGGAATGGCTGTGGCACAGCTGGAGCAGGAGGTATATTGATACTACAGCACTGGCTAAGGTAGATCTTCTCTGCTTCCCTTCCTTCCCCTTCTGGGAACAATCAAGGCTAAGATTCCCTGGATTTCTCCAGCTCTAATTGGAGCAGGAGAAATAAGTGAAGGTTATTACAACACAAGCCATGCCTTTTTTTTTTCTGTGGACACATACATTGATATGTTAGTTTTACTGAGAAGGTAGTACAAGAGCTTGTAGTATATTAGATACAGTTCAGATGTCCTTATTTATTTATGGAGAAATGTATATGCATAGACAGAAGAACTCAGCTAAAAATGATACGCTTGTGAGCCAACTGCTAAAATGTTCACAAATGCCAGAATTTGGATTGCCTGGGCACGATTAGTGCCTTCCCCCTCCCCATGCAGGCAGGATGACATCATGCTGGAATTTCCTCCCTCTCCAGGCTTGGCCTCAATTTCTGGGTGTGCAGCAAGAGACACCTGGGGCCTGAAACACAGAAGTGCGGAGAGCTAAAGTCAACTGGGCCTGTGCTTGGAGCATTTTTTTTAATAGTTGACATTCTGCCATTTTGCCCTTTCTCTTCCTGTGCCTTAGTACTTATACATGAATATAATAATTTCATGAAAACAATAACATTCTCACACTGCACAGAACCATTGCAAAAATACATTCATTAGGATTTGGGGCATATTCAGATGCTGTTGTGGGAGCACCAGAGGAACAAAAGCTTGAAAAATGATTAATGCTTTTTGGTTTCAGATTAACTCTTGGACCACATGCATAAGCATAAGGTCTAAGGCCAAGACAATGAAAGGTGGAGGATAGAAAGAAGAAAGGTTAAAAACTGGCTGCCTATTGGCTGGTTGAAGCAAGAATCAGTGAGGAAAAAAGGAAAGGTTATCATGTAATTAAAACTATACCATCATGCATATTCAAAAGAGCTAATTAAGGATGCCCAGGAAATCTGCATTCTGGAACATGCAATTCTGCTTGGATTTGCAACCTGAATGTTTATTTGCCATAGTCCTTTTGGGTATTCTGCATTATTTATTTTTGATGAGTGCACACTTGCACATGTTCATAATATAGCTGTGACTTATGGTTGTATGTTTGTATGTTTGACTGTGCACATACAGGTAAGTTAGAAAATAATGGGAATGCTTCAGCATCCATCTTCCTGTATTTTATGTAACAAAAGAAAGATAACATTAATTGCACACTTACTTACTGAAAAATCTATGAAAGTCTACATGGTATTTTTTTCCCCATATGCCTACTCAAGCTGGAGATGGCAGAGCTGTAATCGTGAGGGAGATTAAGGCAGTTCTGTAATTCCTGAACACAAATTGCTTTCCCCCATTTAAGAGGATATCTAACACTGAGAAGTTTAGAGAAATAACTTTTTAGCTGCTTACATAGCAGTCCTGAGAGTCTTGTAGTCTCACTCTTGCAAACACGGAGTCGCTGCTACCACCAGCAGTGCTACACCCTGTTCAGAAGATCTAAATCAGAAGCCAAATGTCTATTAAATGAACCACATTAAAAAGAGCCAGTAATGAAGAAGTGTATAGCTGCAGTGTTACCCTTATCCTTTGCACATCTCAAAGGAGCTTGCAAGGAGGCCACTTCTTACAGAAGCTCATGCAGGGACCCACTCACTGCAGAGCTCTCAACAGGGATAGAGGGTTGACTTCGGAGTTTCAGTTTAGTGATCTGCCCACCTGGCCACTCTGCCTTTCACTGCAAATAAATCCTCCATCTGCGGAAATGACCTTTAAATGCTTAGGTTAAACATGATGCTGAAGTTGCTGGAGCCATGCACAGGATCAGTATAGATTTGCATGACTGGTCCAAACCGTTTCTTCCTAACTCAGAGCCTGATGACTTTGTGAGCTGTAAGAGGTGGCCAATTAGTCCTGATTGATAGTGCTTTGTTTAACATGACCAAGTAAAAGCACAGCAACTGTTCTCAGCTTGCATTTGGCTTTGAAGAGTCTGGATTTTGTTCCAGACCAGAAGAAGGTCTTATGTGTCCAAAAGTTTGCCTGTTTTTTCCTACTATAGAAGTCGCTCTATTAAAACAGTAAGGCTTCTCTCCCTACAAACCTATCTTTGTTTAAACTGTGCATAAACTACAAATTTTCGAATGCTGCCCAACTAT